CAATAAAGATGCATTTTCCCCAGCACATTAAGCAACTCCCCCCAGTGAAGGGGGAGACAGCGGAGCAATTATTCTGTGCTGGGCTACCAAATGCACAGCCCAGCAGTCAAATCTCTCAGGGGCACAGAACCAATTATCTGATGGGACTGGGATGCCATGCAGCAGGGTCAAAGTTTGAAAATGAAAGGGGGGGGGGGCAGGAAAAGGGGAGATTTACTTCCCTTGCTGTAATGATAGTTTTCACTGAAACCATGCAGAGACCCAATTTCCATCAATGCGCACAGACATGAGTTTCAACAGAGCTAGTAGCCAGGGGTCTTTGAGGAGTCACTAAACCCTCCAAGGCCTGATGTACTAGCCATGCTGGTTTCAGGACCTTGTGACTCTGCTCCAAGGGAAAAGCCATAGGGGAGAGAGGGGCGCAGGTAGGGTATTGTGGAACCATGCTTGCCTTACTGAAGAACGAGGAGTCCAGCGTATCTGCAGCATCCACCATGTCCTCATCCAGGAGGCTGGGATATGGGAAGCTCCGCTTGTTGCCTCTTCGTTTCAGGGTGGAGTGCTCCAAAACTGAACGTCCCTTTCACAGAGGAAGAAGTGAGCCAATGGGTGAGAGGTCCCCTAGGAAAGCAGCCCTTTGCCATGTCATAGGAGGGGACCAGGAGGCAGCTCAGGGCTGAACGTCAAGCAGATTCGCCTGCCTGGCTGGGAATCCGCACGCAGATTTGCCAAAGGAGGAAGCGGTCACCATTTCAGATGCTGCAGCCACCTCCCCCAGCACCCACCAGCACTGGGCAATGATGGCCCCATAACACGCCTCAATCCCAGTTATGCACCTGCCACACAAACTTTTTCATTCATTGGATCACAGATCCAGTCACTGGATCACTCAGCAGAGGCAAGTGCAGCCACCCCACTCCCCGTGCCCTGCCCTGCCCTGCTAGAACTCTCAATCATAACAGGGGGGCTGTAACAGACCTCAAGGGGACCTCAGATCCAGACCTCTGTGCTGAAGTAGGACCAAGTAAACCAAACCTAGACCATCCTCCACAGGTGTTTGTCCAGCCTGTTCTTGGATACCTGTGGTGATGGGGAGTCTGCAGCTTCCCATGGAAGCCTATTCCAGAGCTCAACTGCCCTTAGAGTTAGAAAGTTTTCCCACTAATCTCTCATCTAAACCTTCCTTGCTGCAGATCACTGTACATGAACGTGTACAAACAGCTCACAAGGGCAGTGTTGCCACACTCTGTGGTTACAGCGCATCAGAATCTGGCCTTCTGCTCTGCAGAAAATCTACAGATCTGGAAATCTGGTTGTCCCCCAAATTGGGCCAAAAAGTCCAAGTCTCCAAACTCTGTGACAACACTGTGTCTATGGGGTTTTGATTATATTCGATGTCTAAACATTTTGCCCTTATCAAAATGTAACATTCACCATAATTTCCCTATGAAAAGGTCAGTGAAATTAATAGATTCTTGTGCAGAGTTTTGATTTTGCCAAATCAGCCTTGTGTGATTGAATGCGATTTTGTCAGGAAAATTTTCAACTGCCTCTCTACAAGGTGAGCTATATCTGATTCATACAGCCTGTGAGCGGATTATTCTCCACTGCAGAACAAGGCTGCTAAAGGGCCCCAGCAGAAACGCCACCTATGGCTAGGTTTTAATGCAACAGCGGCAATGAAATCTGAAAAGCCTCCACATTGTAGAAGTCCCCATTCAAAGCTGATTTTCTTGAACTGTTCAGTTTTCACTCAAACCACTTCATTTTTAGCGCAAATTCTGCTTAAAGTGCTGCAGTAAGCAGTCTGAAATTGCGTGATCCAACCAAAATATTTTGCAAAAAATATCAAGAACAGAAAAGTGTCTGGGTCTGCCACGTGTCCCAGAATTCAATGGCATTCAGCACCATGGGGAACTACTGCTGTGGGAGAACTCTAAGGGCTCCCATTCAGATTTTGGAGACACACGAGTGACGGACATAAGGGTGCCCTGGACAAGTCTCTGAGGAAGGTTCACGCTGCAGAAGCTCAACTGGGAACACATGGACAAGCAGCACTCACTCGGAGGATAGCCGCAGCCGCTCTGAAACTCATGTGCGCGACAGACTCCCTCTTCCTTCGGGGCAGACGGGTGTAACCCGACCGCACGCTGGTGAAGGAGGTGAGGGAGATGACTCCAGGTGTCTGGGGTGGTAGAACGGGGTGAGGGGTCCGAGGACGATCGACTTCATCAGGGTGCCGGAACGGGCGGCCTCTGGCCAACGGGTCGACGATCTTAGATGGGGAGACATAGGCAGAAGTCAGTGAATTCGGCTGGGTTCTCAGTTGTGTGCACATGCATGGAGGGAGGGTGTCTGTCATGCTCAAGGGAACCCTGTGAGTGGATTCTCTGCTGGGACTGAATCCAGAACCTCTGGATTGAAAAGCCCGAGCCACAAGACCAGGTCCCATACAACAGGGCTATCCACTGCCCAAGGACAGCATTTCTGGGAACCCTTTGCTGACGTTATCGCCAGCAGCCTGAGCTGAAGACAGCTGCCCTCGGCCCAGAGAGGTGGGCTCTCTGGAGCCCGTTTGCATTGTGTAAGCGAGAGCGAAGTCAGAGTTTTACCTTGGGCATCCTGGGCTTCGGCGACTCAATGCCTTGGAAGGAAGGTGTCTCCTGGCTGGGTAGCTCCATGTCGCGGTAGGGGGCCTTGAGCTTGCCATAGCGCAAGCTGCAGTGCTGCAGGCTCTTGCGTTGCCAGTGCTGCCGCTTCCCATCCCAGTCGCTGCTCACTCCAAACCACTGGGCCGTGCCCCTGCAGCAGGGAGCAGGAGGGAGACACTCAGTGCCCTTCTCTGCAGGTGGGACAGCGCATGCAAAGGCTGCTGAGCATGGGCTAAGCCCACATGACCAAGAACACAGCAAGTCATGTAAAGGCAGGTGCGAGTGTGAGGATCTGCAAGAGAGCATCCTGGAACCTTTTAACACCATCCATGTCTCAGTCACTTTTGCTAGCCCGCTCCCAGGCTGTAAGCAGCTTTGGATATTGTCCACACTGAACAGGGTGGGACTGCACATGGTGCCTGGTCTACACTGCAGAGCTAGGCTGATGTAAGTCGCCTCCCATCGATCTCTTGATGCATCTTTCTACACAAATGTGTCTCCAATTCATATAATGCCCCATTGTGGGAATGCAGTAACCCCCCTGCATGCCCAAAACAACTGTGCTTCATACGAGGCCAGGTCTACACTAGACCTGGAAGGTTGGGTTAAGATATGCAACTCCAGCTACATAAAGCAAGGAGTACCAGCACCCTCAGCATTTGATTTAGCAGGTCTTAACTAGACTCGCTAAATCAATTGTCAGAAGACTGATCTCCAGTGCAGCAAGTGGAGACATGGCCTTAGAGCTATTTAGATCAACAGAGTGCGAGTATAGATACTGCATGTAACAGATCCTCACGTAGCTTGTCCCACTGTGTCTCATTCTCTGTTTTAAACTTCACTGCCCAGGGGTCAGACCTGGAGGTTGTGTGACAATCTTTAATTCCTGGAGATTCCAGGATCATCCTGGAGGGTTGGCAACCCTAGCTGGGGGACACAGCCAGGCAGTCCCCAGCCTGTAACAATGCTTGGGATTCTTCCGTCCCAAATGCAGGACTCTGCACTTGTCCTTGTTGAACCTCATCAGATTTCTTGTAGCCCAATTCTCCAATTTGTCTAAGTCACTCTGGACCCTATCTCTGCCCTCCAACATATCTACCTCTCCCCCTAGCTTAGTGTCATCTGCAAACTTGCTGAGGGTGCAATCCATCCCCTCATCCAAGTCGTTAATAAAGATATTGAACAAAACCAGTCCTAGAACCAAACCTTGGGGCACTCCGCTAGAAACCGACCGCCATCCTGACATCGAGCCGTTGATCACTACCCGCTGGGCCCAGCCTTCTAGCCATCTTTCTATCCATTTTACCGTCCATTTAACCAATCCACATTCCCTTAACTTGCTGGCAAGAATATTGTGGGAGACCGTATCAAAAGCCTTGCTAAAGTCAAGGTATATCACATCCACTGACCTCATCATAGAAGCTAACCAGATTGGTCAGGCATGACTTGCTTGTGTGAATCCCTTTGCAATCTACAAGCAGACACCCGATGGCAGTGTGGGCACACCCATAAGTACAACTGAGGCATTAAGGTCTGAGAGAACACAGGGTGCGCACACAACATTCATACCGTTCACACCACTGTAAAATGAGATCTCTGATCTCAGCCTAGCCACCGCATGCAGAGAAACATGTCACAATGCAGCTCAGTTGGCAGCCTCTAATCTGAAGGGACCCAGGCCTACAATAGCAAAGGATGCCAGAAATTCAGCTCTTTTGGGGACATCCCTGGCACTTCGCACCGTGCTAGGAATGGACTTGGGGCTGAAACAAAAGCACAGCTGAATGTGTCTGAAAGCCCAAAGTAAACACTACTGAGAAAAGCAAGAGTTGCCGTTCTCATTGAGGAGACTGGAATCATTCCCAAGATGGCAAACAGCTGGGCTGGAGCTGTATTTTTTTGCCCCAGAGTGGGACATGGTTAGCTTATTTTATTATCCCGACTGCAAGACACACAGCTTTGACTTCCTCAGCAAAGGCAGGGCAGAGACCAGGGCAGCAGGGAATCCATCTGTCCAGCTCCCTCAATCCAGGACACCCCAGCCCCAGCGCTGCAGCACATGGTGCCAGTACAGCCCAGAGCCGCATGTTCCTTACCTGCGGATGCTCTGAGACAGGGAGGTCTGTCTGCGGAAGCCAGGACGTTGCTCCAAGGTGTGCTCATCCCTTTTCCCTTGGGGCTCCTGGAGGCTCACGCTCTTTTGATACACTGGGTTTTTCAGAGGCTGGAAGGGGAGCAGAGTGGTTAGGAACAGAGTGGGGGAGGGGAAAACATGTAGAACTGGGACCCCCAGAAACCCACTGTTCAGGGAGATGGGTGGAGCAGAGCCTGGCAGACAAGAGACTGACCTGCTTCTCAAGGGCTCAGCCCCCTGCAAATACGTTAGGGCTTTCACAGACACAGAAGAGCCTCAGCTGTCAATTCACCGTTGTGAAGGTACCATGGTAAGCAGACCTAGGCACGTCAACTTAAGCTACATAAGTCACATAGCTGACATTGTGTCACTTAGCTCAATGGCCTGCAATATTCCAAAGGGATATTGCTCCTGCTTCCAAAGGGATCAAGGGCAATGCTGTGGTTAAGAAGGAGGGAACCACTGTAAAGCCATTTCATAATGGGCAATTAATGGGGCAATAACTAACCCCTTGGAGATGGCCTTCAACGCACATCACTCTAATAAGCCACTTGGACAGCAGCCTGGAACACCGGCATTCAGAGCTCAGAACCCCACCGGCTCTGATCTGCTGGCAGTATGGGACAGGCGATGGGTCTGAACCGGAGACGACCTGCTCTCCCAAGACACTCTTCATGGTCAATGGGAATTAACAGGTTTGGGGATATTGGGGTCATGCCAAGGGTCCCCCCCTCTTACCAGTTTCAGGCTTCTTTCCTCCTCTGGCTCCACCGGTGGAATTGTTATGGAGAGGTCAGGGGGCTTCTTGCTCTGCAGGCGGCTGCTACTGGTGCTCGACCGGCTGCCCCCATTCTTATCGCTGGCCATCTCAAACCGGAGGAGTTACTCAGGCTAAAGGGGGAGAAGGAGAGTAAGAGTCAAGCCACAGATTTCTTTGCCAACACCCCTCAACAGAGGAGGGGTTGAGCAATCTCCTCCCTAAGAAGAAGGAAAGGTAATGGCCATTCCATGGATTTCTCAGAGACCACGGGAGAAAGTACTAACCACTAATGGGCCTGTGCAACATGGAGACCTCTTGGTAGCATGTCAGAAACATGGAGAACCTCACCTCCCTTTAACTGTGTCCCAGAGGGATCCTCCGCTCCTCAGCCATATGTTGCCAGAGAGCAACATTTCATACTTGTGCAGGGACTTCCCTCCAGGGATCTGCAAGTGCTACCCAAACATCACACCCTTCTGACTCATGCATTATGGGCAAAGAGCAAGTGAATTTTCACAGGGCAACAATTCAGCAGCAGAGATGGGGATCTTGGTTTCTGTCCCTAACTCCTAGTCCCCTGCTCTAAGCCGTTCTTGACCGTAACCATGCCACAGGTCTCCCACCACTAGCCTGATTGTACCCTGTGACTTGTGATGCTGCAAAGGAGGGCTGGACATTTTCTTTGCTATGGTGAGCTTCAAAGGCTTTGAAGAGGTTTGCTTCCAGCCCAAGGTGCTTGGGGAGTTGAGGACATGCCTGGCAACATCAACTCCACAAAACAAGAATAAGGGGAGTCGATGGAACCGTTTTTTCTGCTGATCAGAGCGTTGTGGATCCCATAGTGAGTAGATCTGAGGTACATTGATTTGAGTTACGCAGCTTAGATCAGCCTGCCCCCAGTTTTCAAAGCACTCGCCTGGCACAGAACCAGAACCACGACAGGCAGGTGCTCCAAGCTAAGCCAGAGAAGAGGAAACCAAGGAAAAGAAATTGAAGCCAAATAGCAGAAATGTTTTCAGACCACAAGACTTATTTTCATTATAGAATCATCACCCTGAAACAGCAGTGGATGCTCCAGACACTGAAAGCAAGAGTCCCACCAGAAAGTGCCCTGTAGCCAATGAGTCAGTGGATTTGTAAGGAAAGGCAGTGGGTAAGAAGTCTGGGCCATCGCTGGTCTGTAAGGTATTTAAGGCCTGAAGACAGTCAGGATAGGTATATGGGAGTGGTTACACCCCAGGTCTGTCTAGAGCAACCATGCTGTGACAGAACAGGATGCATTAAAGGGTCTCTCCTGCCGCTCTCTAGCCAGTCTCACTCAGCCCAGGATTGCTGCCACCCCACACGTGCGCAAAGTATGGTTTCTTCAGCTAGACAGACGCCTCAGCAGCCTGCCTTGTCAGGGTCACTCGCCTGCCCATCTCATGGAGGTGGGAGGAAGGGCAGGCAGTAGAAAGTTCCATACACCACGTGATTTAATTAGCCATCTTGTCAGCTGCCATTTGGCATGCCAAGCGTGCAGACACCCAGGAACTGGACCCCCACGCCCTACAGCAAAGGCAGCTAGGAAATCCCAAGAAGGGAAGCTCGGGTGTGGGTGCCACACTGCAGCGGTGGCCAAGGAGACAGCAAAGAACCAGGCAGGCAGCCCATTTGCTGGGAACCCAGGAATCGCACAATTCCCCATTTGCTAGGCTTGGCACTGTCCCCTCCACTCTTTGGGCTCAGTGGGGAGACAAACAGCACCTCCCTCTGCAGAGGCTGTTCTAGGCTGCTCTCGGAAGACAACGTGACGGAAGCACGTCTGCAGTCAGCAGCCCTGGGCTTAGAAACCCAGGACGAGGCAGACGTTGGGGCAGCTAGTACCCAGCACAGGCTGACCTGTGATGTCATGGTCCCTTCTGGCCTTCATCTAGAAGCCTTAGCACACTCATGGAGCAGCACTTCTCAGCCCCGCCACCCCTCCCCAGCCCCAGCAATCTATTTAGATTGGAAACTGCTTCTTAGGGCAGGGCCCCTCGCTCCTCTCTGTGCCTAGCGCAACAAGCACAGAGCTGTTCACGCCACTCACAGGCCAACACTCCCAGGGTTCAAGCTGCTCTTAAGGAAGCAACATCTCTAGCATCAAAATGAACGTTGAGTATCCCTAGAGAAGCGTGAGCCAGACACGCGAGAGAGAAAGGGCTGAGGGGCAGGAGAGGTTACAGCCTTCACCTCACACAAACGCCGTGTGAAAAGAGCTAGTCCACACGCCTAGTCAGCAGTGTGCTCACGTGGGACAGCAGGTTAGCAGAGGACCTCCTGGGCAGGGATGGGAGTGTGGAGGCAGGAAAAGGGAATTTGTGTGCAGCCATCTTGGTCTTGTTAATAAGAGAGCAAGAGTCAGGCTAAGTCTGTGGCCTGACAACGCGAGAGCTGTAATTAGATGCTGCCTTCGCCTCTCGCCTCCATAAGGAGATAAGGATAGAATGCTGACTGGCAGGGACCTTGAGATAAGGAGCATCTGGGTGGAACTAAACTGTTAGCCATTGGTGTTTGTAATGGGAAGGAGACTAATTGTTATATCTAATGGACAGTATATAAACTGCTTCATAATTACTTGTATTCAAAGATCTGCCTCGGAAGGGGGGAAGGGGGCTCTCCCCCTTCCGGCCCGAACCAGTTTTCCCTTGCTGTAGCTCGTAATAAAACTGCCTCTGGCTACTTGTTGCTCACAAACGCAGAGTGAGACAATGTTTTCTTCCACAGGAGCAAAGGGTCAGTGCCTCCATCTTGTGCACAGTGGTGGATCTCTTGGTCAAGCCTCAGCTCCTAGAGTCACAGGCTCACTGGGAGCCCCTGCATTCATAGAAACCATGGCTAGCCCCACTGCCACAGAGAAAAGGCTGAAAACATGGACCAAGCGGGAGCCCAAAACCCCCTCAAACACGAGACAACTCAAGTTTGCATTTTATTCTCCCCCCAATCTCATGACTGTGGGTGGGAGGGGGTGGCAATTCACTATTTTGGAACACGTGACATTAGCAATACTGGAGTCAATGCTCCTAGTCCCTCATTCCTCCCCCCCCGCCCGCTTTCCCCCTCTCCATCAGTCATATGCTTTCAGGGCTTCTGAACAGAATGTAAGACCAGACCAGACCAGACATTTTGCATTCACTGTTGGCCTCCTTCTGCTTTCTGCATGGAGCAGGGCATTTGCCAGCTTACTGCTGCGCGCTACCAGCTGGCGGCTCACTGCAGGGTCTGGTTGCCCATCATCTTTTTGGTTGCTGCTGAGTTGGCAACTCTACTCCTGCCCCAGCCCTTCAGCCCAAGGCTCTACTCCTCTGGCGGGCCAAGAGCCAGGGGCCCTTCCTCTGCACAGGGAGAAAGGCACCAAAAGCACTTATCGGACTGTGTCCTCACCATGCAGGCTCTGTCCCAGCCCAGGGCAGGAGCGTCCACAGATCCCCCTGCTATGCATGTGCCCCTTGCCATAGCTGGGCTGCGGCCACTACGGCAGGGGAGGGGGTGTGGGGGGGGCA